AGTAGTACTAGTAGTACTAATAATAAAAATAATATCGCACCAGCAGCAGTGGTAGCGGTAGGGGACACGGTAGTCGTAGGTTTGGGGTTGGAATTGTTGTTGTACTCGTAGCAAACGTAACAAAAAGCAGCAGCAGTAGTAGTCGTATTCGTAGCAGCAGCAGTAGTAGTTCATAGCAGCAGTGCAGCAGCAGCAGCGGTCGTACTAGATAGTACTAGGTAACTGTAGTAGGTAATCGTAGTAGGTAGTGGTAGTAGATAGTGGTAGTGGTAGTGGTGGTGGTAGTAGTAGTAGTAGTAGCCTTTGCAGTAGCAGTGGCAGAAGAAGGAGTTTTTAGATATACGGACAATGGCCTGCGCTCGCATATGTGGCTGTGAGATTTAGAGGACAGTGCTCGCGCCAAAAGCGGAAGCTGCAGCGGCCGGAAGCTCGATCAGGGCTTTGAGCCAGGATCATAGACGCGGTTATTATCTGAGTGTATGGAGTGTGCAGTCTGCCACCTTCGGTATGCCACGGCCCAGAGAAGTCCTGAGATTCCTCCAGTATCCAAGCGCAAATCTAAGATGTGCTGAGGAGCCGCAGAAGGTGTCGAGGAAGTCCCCGAGCTGCAATTTATGGGAATTTGTTTAGGGATGTTTCACGGGGCGAACTGCATTCACGATGTATGTGTTTTGTAAGGATGAAAGCTTGCATGGGTGGATGGATGCATGCAGGGATCGAGTGAAATTAAGAAGGTAAGTATGCAAGTAAGCAAGCAAGTACTTACGTGCGCATGTATGTATGCATGCATGGATGGATGTACGAGCGCATGCACCTATGCAAGTGGGTATGTGTGTATGTATGTATGTATGTATGTATGTATGTATGTATGTATGTATGTGCGTGCCTAGTCGAGCGCTAGTGCCAAAAGATGTATGCATATATGTATGCATGTAGGTTTGCTTCTATGATTCTATGTACTTAGGCATGCAGGCGCGTGTGTGCGATTGCACATGTGCAGATGCATACATACCTACATCCCTGCTGCATGTATGCACTCTCTCTCTCTCTCTCTGTCTCGCTCTATGTTCCTGCCGCTGTGTGTGTGTATATATATATATGTATATACACACACACGTATATATATATATACATAGATTTACATACACATGATGACATATAAACGTGCGTGTGCGACACGATGTGTTTCAATCAGAGTGTGTGCTTGTGAGGTATAGGCGGAACTACAAGGTCGACGAGAAAGCCATGCAAGATATGTTCAACCGCAGCTTGTCATTGATGGCCAGGGATTAAGTGCACTGCAGCTCCCTCTCAAACAGGATCGACGATTTAAGAATTTGTGTTCACTGGTTTCGAGTGTGGGTTAGGACTTGAGCCCACTAGCAAACAGCTTTATCAGGTCTTCCTGGCCGGCATTTCGGTTCGGTATGTCTGAGAAACAAGCGTTCTGGAGATGCCTTTCGGTTTGGTATGCCTGGGTCTCATTTACCGCGTTTCTGCTTATCATGGAGCCAGGTGTTTGCGGAGCCAGTCTTCTTGTGACTCCTAGTGTCTTTCGCTGCCTTTACGCCCAATCCCAGGGCCCGGCCTCCCACAAGACCCAAAGAGAGAGGCAGCCGATGAAACCAAGAAAAAAGAAGCACAAAAGAACAGGAAGAACTGAGAACTGGCATGGAGCATAGAGGCAAGAGGCAGGCAGCAGCAAACCTTCCCTCCTGCTCAATTTCCAGATTTTTGCCGACCGTCGATCTCATGAATTGGGCCTGCAAGCTGCATGATATATTCTGTTTTTATTTTTCATGTACTATCATTATATTGTATTATATTATGTTGTATTGTATTACATTGTATTATATCATATTATATTATA